TGGGTAGACATTAACATTACGAAAATTATCGAATTTTTTTTTTCGCCAATTCAATTCCACCGTGATAAGGTATTGGATGGAATAATTATCAGCAATACTGACAACCACGGTAATATTAAAACGATCGATAACGAATTCGCGTCAACAACCGTTATCGGGAAACAGTGTAAGAACGAAAATTAAAAAAATAAAATGTCTCAAAATTGCATTAAAATAAATTTTTGCAAAAATTTCATGCCTAAATTTCGTGCAGGTCGATGAATCCTGTGTAATTTTCCAGCTTTTCTTTGACAATGCGAAAAAAATAGAAAGGCTTTCACCACGAATATTCGCCACTTCGTCGCTCGCCAAGTAGAATCGAACCGAGTTATGACGTCGTCGTGAATATTTATGGCAAAGACAAAAAAAAAAGAGAGTGGCCATTAATGCTCTGCGTGCATCCTCCCTCCTCCGGATAACCTTTGGTCCACTGGATGCGTATTAAAATAGTTATTGAGTAAGGGATATTGCATATTTATATATTGCAAAAAAAAGGTAGCATCAAATATAACGCAACATATTGCACTTTGTCGTAATATTTCCCGCAGTCCAGAATTCGCCCTTACTCTACCCCCCCTCGTCGTTCAGGGGTTGCTCGCTATACTCTCTGAGCCACTGCGCCCCCCAGGGGGGCCGGGGGGTGGTTCTGAAAATATTATTTTTTTATGTCACCCAGCCGATACGCACTTGGCTGCGTAGGCATTTTGCGGACGAATGACTCCCGCTACCTACTTAGGGGGGTTCAGGCCTATCCGTGGTTTGGACTTGGGGCTCATTTTGAGGGTAACCACCCCTCCCGCGGGACAACAGTTAATTTGGAAATATCACCGGTTTATGATTTCTCCTAATAAAATTTCTCTACCCCCTGCACGTGGACGCTCCTGTATTCCATAAGGGCAGCCGTTTCCACTGTCCTCCCTGTACGTCATTTTTATCTTGTCTCTCTTCGCTACTCTGCAATATTCATTCCCCTCCTGTAAAATCCCCATAGAAAATCTTTCGTTAACGACAAAATCCCATAGGCTCTGTAGCACTGCCGCTACTCGCTGGCAAATACGAAAAACGTGTAACTGGAAAATGACTGGACGAAACTGTCCCGGGGGGGGGGGGGGGGGAACTG